CGGCGGACCATCGAGGCGTCAGGCACACCAGCCGTTCAACGCTGCTGGTATCGCTGTTGCTGTGGCGTCCAAGTGAGCGTTCATGTTGTTGCGTTTCGAGACGCTATGGTTGCATATGTTATGGCCGGACGTGCCATGTTTGCTGCAGCTGCAGGCGCTCATGCTGGGTCCCTCTGCTGGTGCAGCTGCTGTGCCCCTGCCTTTCCTCTGATGGTCCGGCGTCGTCAAGGCGCCAGACAATCGGATGGTCCGGCGTCGTCAAGGCGCCAGACCATCGGATGGTCCGGCGTCGCCGAGGCGCCAAACCATCGGATGGTCCGGCGTCGTCAAGGCGCCGTACCATCGAGGCGTCCGGCGCACCAGCTGCTCGACGATGCTGTGGTTGTAGATGTTGTGGTCGGAGGCGCTTCCTTTGCTGCACCTGCAGACGCTTGTGCTGGGTCCCTGCCTTTCCTGCGATGGTCCCGCGCCGTGAAGGCGCCACACCAGCAGATGGTCCGGCGTCTTCAAGGCGTCAGACCATTGGATGGTCCGGCGTCGTCAAGGCGCCGGGCCATCGAGGCATCCGACATACCAGCAGCTCGACGCTGCTGTTCTCGTTGTTGCCGTGACGTCCAAGTGAGCGTTGATGTTGTTGCAGTTCGAGATGCTGTGGTTGTCGATGTTGTGGTCGGAGGTGCTGCGTTAGCTGCAGCTGCAGTCGTTAATGTTGGGTACCTCTGTGTTTGCTGCAGTTGTGCCCCTGCCTTTCCTCCGATGGTCCGCCGTCGTCAAGGCGCCAGACCATCGGATGGTCCGGCGTCGTCAAGGTTTCAGACCATCGGATGGTTCGGCGTCGTCAAGGCGCCAGACCATCGGATGGTCCGGCGTCATCAAGGCGCCAGACCATCGGATGGTCCGGGTTCGAGATGCTGTGGTTGTCGACGTTGTGGTCGGAGGTGCTGCGTTAGCTGCAGCTGCAACCGTTCATGCTGGGTCCCTCTGCGTTTGCTGCAGTTGTGCCCCTGCCTTCCTGTGACG